TATATAAAATAATATTTATATACACTGTAAAGTGCCTGTGCAATCAAATTGTCTTTCCTTTTATGTGCCTGATGTTCATATTACACTCCTGTAAAATCATCATCCACCATAATAACCTGTGAATTTTCTTTTTCATCATGTCGAAGAAAAATAAGGGGGTTGTGATCACTACACAACAACCGGGCTAATGTAATCTTCAAAATCTAATGCCAAAAATTAAAGCTAATCATTCCTTCTCGATTGCTGAGTAATATCTTTGGTGCTTTCTTAATTTCTTAAAGAAATAGCACCTTGTGTGATCAATTCCATTGCTGTCTTCTTGAATCAATACAGCTTCAATCACAACATCAATTGCGTCCCCAGACAATTTAAAAGACTGATTAAAATTTGGAGCTGTTAGAACCGGTGCACGCTTGAGTATTGCTTTCAACCTATCGAAAACTTCCTGACAGTTTTCGGTCCAGAGAAACTTAGTTTCTCTTACTTAACAAATTTGTCAAAGGATCAGCAATATTGGAGAAATTGGAGCAGAACTTTCGATAGTATCCTGCCCATATCCAAAACTTGCATTATTTGCAATTTACTGACAGGCACAGGAACATCAGAGAGAGCTTTCACCTTAGGAAAGTTACTCAAGCACAGCAAGACTCACTTTTAGATAAATTGATTGTCAAGTTAGCATCAGTGAGTCTTTCATAGATTTTCCGAATCATGAATAGATGTCCTTTCCCAGAGTTGTTGTAGATGATGATCATCAATATAAGCGTCACAATTATCTTGATTTAGTTTCCGTAAATGCAATTTGTCAACATCCTTTCAGAAGGTCAAATTTGGTAACATACTTGGTATTTCCAATATAATTTATGCAATTGTCGATCATTGGTAACGGAAATGAATATGTCTTTGTCACGCTGTTCACCTTCCTATAACCAGTGCACATGCGGAAAGTATAATCCGGTTTCGGTACAAGTATGCATGGAGAACTCCATTTACTTTTCCTGGGCTCTATGAAATCGTTCTCCAGCAAATACTGAGTTTCCTTTTTTAGGTATTTCTGTTTGATTTGATTGATTCTGTGCGGGTGTTGTTTCACAGGTATTGAGTCTACATTTCAACATTATGAAACATTTTGTTTGGCCTTGTAGGAATATCAGGAAACAAGTGCTCACATTCGAACAATAACTGTTGATGTTCATTTCTTTTTTCCTGTTGTAAATATAAAAGTTTTTGGTCTAGAATTTTTTTATAATTTTCGAATTCCGAAGATCTGTGGCTCCAAGTTAAACATTGTCCTATTGAATTTCTTCATATATATTCTCAGTTTTTGAGACAGGTACAACTAAATAAACTGTATGATTTATTTGGCTATCACTTTCAATATACTTCTTTAACATATTAATGTGGCAAAGTTGCTTTTGTTTTGGCCTAGCAGGAGTATTTACGATGTAATTTAAATCATTTACTTTCTTTTCAACCGTGTATAGACTGTAGTACTTGTCCTGAAGGGGGTTTTGAGGAATGGGCAAGAGAGCAATAAGTCTATCACCAGACCGAAAACTCTTATCCCTTGAGTTTTTATCATATCTTGATTTCATTCTAGATTGAGAGGAGTGTAGACTTGTTCTTGCAGCCTCACAAGTCTTTGACAATTTGTCTTTAAATTCAGAAACATAGTTAAGAAGATTGAGCTCAGTATCTTCATTTGAAATAAGTTTCAAAGTTCCAGGCACAGTATATCCAAAAACTAGTTCAAATGTACTGAATTTTAACTATAAATAAACTGACTCCCTTATAGCAAACAAAAGTAAATGAATGCCTTCTTCTCAATCTTTGCTAATATCAAAACAATATCATCGAATCATGTTTTTTGAAGTAAGATGAAATCTTTCTAATGGCTGTCAGGATGATAGGCAGAGGATTCAAATTGTCTAATGCCCAAGTCGTGCATAGCTTGCTGGAAAATGCCAGACATGAAATTTGATCCTTGATCCGATTGCACAGATTTGGGAAGTCCAAACTGAGTAAAAAACTGTATTAAAGCTTTCACTATAGCTTTGGTTTTAATATTAACCAAAGGAATTGCCTCTGGAAATCTTGTTGGCGCACACATAATGGTCAACAAATATTGGTTGCCTGATTTGGCCTAATGTAAGGGACCAACAAAATCTACCATAATTCTTTTAAATGATTCGTCAGCTGCAGAAAAAGTTTGCTGATGAGCTTTAGGTGTCTTGCGTTTGGGTTTTCCTATCATTTAACAAGTATGACAAGATCTACAAAATTTACAAGCATCACACTTTTGATTTTTGGCCAATGAAAGTTAGTCAAGATCTTGTTTTAAGTTTTATTTTTTCCTAAATGACCAGCCAGAGACGTTTCATGGGCCAAACTAAGTATTTCGTGTCTGTAAGATTTTGGAACTGCAGTCTGATAGTTTACTGACCACTCGTCAGTAGCAGGTACATCGGCATGTCTCCATTTTTTCTCAGAAGATATTCATTTTTATATGAAATAACAGACAGGTTCCTCAGAGGCTTCATTCTCAGAAATGGTCGACTAAAACAAACAGAAGATTTTAGGATCTTTTTCCTGTTCGACGACAAGTGATTGTCGTTTATCACCCTGATCAGAAAAAGAGGATGAGTGTTGAAAAGAGAATCCTTGTGATCAATGCTACTTGACTGATCCAAATTAGAAGTGAAAGTGACTTCATCAAAAGTCTGACCAATAAATATGCTAGCTAAAGGAATGTCAACCTTATCAAAGTCATACTCAAAGGCTTTCTTTGACATAGCTCTAGTAAAGTGCACAAGCTGGGTATAGCTCAGGGTATTCTTGTTCGATTGGATCAAGTTTCTGATCCAAAGAAAGTTTGTCATTTACATTTGGATTAGTCACAACCTGGTATCCAGCAAGGTCGTTTCCTAGCAACAAATGACTGTCCTCAACAGGTAAGTTAAACACTATACCGACTGTCAAATTTCCTGAACCTAAATCTGATGACAAATTTACAGAATAGAGAGGAACATTAACATCTACTCCCTGAATGAGAACACTATCATTAGAACAGGACTTCTCAGAAGAAGGGAAAATACCTGACACTGGTATCACGGTAGCAATTGAATTTTTCATAGACCGCAATGCTAATATTTTGCGAAATAAATATACTTTCTATCCTACCTCAGCATACATGTCACTCACTGTCACAGAGAACAATGTTAGATTGTTAATTTGATAACAACGTGAATAGGTACTCCAATGCATTTAAGAAAGGTAACTCTGCCTGAACTAGACAGGGGTAAGAGTTAGCTAGTTACACTGGACACATTTTCAGTCATGTGTACCACATTTAAAAAAAAATCTTAAAAAATACAAAATATGATCTAGATATGAATTAACATAATCTCACATGTTTCCAAGCGGCTCAACTTTTTCAAAAACCTAACAGAAAGTACAACTCTTGCATAATGCAGCAATCACAGCTAGTTTTGTTGTTTATTTCTGAATGCAATATTCCTTACACCTTAAGCTCCGCCCACCTGGGATTGTACAATTGGTACCGTCATACCCACTCAAAGACTATGAGAAGCTCCTGTATCTCTTAAAAGTTTAATGGTGATAGTATTAGCCGAATCACCCAAGAATGATATAGAACCTTCCACATGAATGGTTCATAATTCTCCATAATAAAATCAGACTGGGTTTTATGAGACCCAGCAAAGGTATTGCTTTCAACACATAACCATGACCTTTTAGAAATAAGAGCATTTGGGATGGGTCAAACTTGATTATGATGCCATATTTCAATTTAAAGCAATCAGAAATGATGTGACGTTTTTCTTTCTTGCAATAGGCAGATATAAGGATTTTGAGTCAAGTTTATCAGAAACTTGATGTTTAGAAGTTGTGCCAGACTGAGAATTCGTATTTGGCTGAAATACCTTTCTACCTGTAGACTGCTGAGTGAATGATTTGCCTAAAACAGGAACTTTATGAGTTAAGGAGTACTGATCGGCAGCAATAGCAGGATTTTCCAAGGTTTCACTCTTATGCTCTAATGGATGATTAATAGAATCATTACCAACATATTTTTTGAACTCTTTAAGTAACACAAGTTGTTCGATACTTTCATAATCATGTTCAACTTTCTTTGCTAAATACCATCTCTTCAATAACTGTTCTTTTGCGCTAGCAAACTTGACATAAATCTGTCCAGCTTTCTTTCTAGAGGTCCTGAATTTATGCTGATAAAACTCAGGGACTAACGCATAGCCCCTTAAGATGCACTCAATGCTTCCTTAGCCATTTCAAATATTCAGCAACTTTTTCAGCAACTTTTTCAAAATAAATAAACATTCCATCTCGATTGTGGAATCATTTCTATGGTGTTTATCTAATTTCTTAGAAATATAGTACACTGGATAATCTACACCATTTTTATCTTCTTGAATCAATACTTCACCAACCCCAACATCACTTGCATCAAGAGTCAGTTTAAATGATATACTGAAATTTGGAGTTGTAACAACTGGTACATTTTGTTAGCAATGCCTTTCACTTATCAAAAGCCTATTGACATCTTTTAGACCAAAGCTGAACAAATTTATATGTGGTTCCCCAATTATGAATAAATTGGAAAAACAAAATTCGATAGTATCGAGCCATACACCAAAACTACATCAGTTGCTTTTTACCGATAGAAACATGAAATTCAGAGATATCATTGACCTTAGCATCTACAGGTTTAATTTGTTCATTTCCCAAGATATGTCCTAGAAATGCAAAACTCACTTTTGGATAAATTGTCTGTCCAATTTGCGTCAGTGAGTCCGAATATTCGTAATTCCAGGTGAGGTTGTAGATGAGAACAACATCGATATAAGCATCAGTTTTCTATACCAGATGTAAGTCATGTTTTTTAAACGTTGAAAAGTACTAGGTCAACCTTTCATTTCAAACGGCATTACTTTATTTTGTTAAAGTCCATATGGCGTCTGGCATGACTCGGCTTGTGATCTAACCCACGACTTCCCGCATCAAAGGTGGACGCTCTAACCACTAGGCCACCGGAGCGGTCCTCAATAGGATAAAATTTCTGATCGAGAAAAGGCTTGTCAGTTACAAGTGGATTAACCACAACCTCATCTCCAGCTCGGTTACTGCCTAGTATTAAATGGGTATAGTATACGCTGTTTCTACTGTCAAGGGTCCTGAGCCTAAGTCTGATGACAAATTAACACAATGGAGAGGAACATTAACAAAGCTACACTCTTTGTTAATAATAAGAATTCCCTAAATAGAATAAGACTTATCGAAAACAGGGGAAGTACCTAAGATTCTGAGAAGCTCATGTGTCCCATAACATTTAAATAGAGATAGGGTTGGCCGAATCATCCATGAGTAATATAGAACATGAATGGTTTATATTTCTCCATAATATAATCAGACTGTGGTTTATAAGGCCTGAGAAATGTATTACTTTCAATTTATGACCGTGACCTCTTAGAAATAAGCGCATTTGGGATAGGTCTGTCTTGATTCTGTTACTAATGTTTTAATTTGTAGCAATCAGAAATAATGCATCCTTTCTTCTTGCAATATATATTATAGTGCAGTTTTCAAATTTTGCATGACTGAAAGTATCATCAGCTAATAAACATGGGAAGGTTACATATGAGGCTCGTGTATTTTGAACGTGATGATACAGACTCGTACCAGTGATTGCTACTCATTTTCATTTGTATGTCAAAATAAGGCCAAGGCATATTTATTCACTTTTATTCATTTATAACGAAGAAATGGCGAGGATAAAATAATTGAATCCTCGTTGGAGAATACGGTAATACGAAACCAGAAAATGATAGTGTCTTTTCCCAACTTGTGGGAATATAAAGTAAAGTTCTGACTCATTCTTCAGCACAAAATTGATAAGTATATAATATACCAGCATGTTTGTAGATATTGCAAGTGTGAGCATAAGCTTGTTTAGTGTTGTGTGTGTTTTCTCTTATATCCTTGCATTTTGACTAATAATATATTTGCGTGTTTGTAACTATAGTTGATGCCTCTTTTCATTGGATTGGAAAAGCGGGGTGTTGGTCGCTTCATTGATGTGCTGATGCTATATTGTGAGTATTAAATAATAGATAAATGGATGCTGGATGGCAAATATAGGTATTGCTCATTCTGTACATCGCGTTACTGGTATATTATTCGTTTTGTAAACTAGATAACTGTGTGATGGACAATATATAACTCGGTGATGGCCACTGCATTGATCAACTGACCTTACAAGGCTATCCATGCTACAACTTCTGTAGTTATTGTTATTTTAAATGGAAGGAAGTCAATGATTTAGTGGATTATAAAGTACCTGTAGAAGTGTGTGGTCTCTCAATACAATGATATTATTTAAATTGTGGAGTTGTGCTGTGGAGTTTGCGTTTGTTTCCCAAAAGCGTCTTGTGGCAAATGTATTAAGAGTGCACACAAAGACATGACAACCACTTAGACTTAAATTTAACAGTGTAAGCATGAACTGTGATCGTTATTGTTCAAAAAGTCACTTTTGGGGTAGTTGAAATAGTAGCTGATCTTGTCATTTTTGTGAGTGGAAGTGGATGGTGGTGGATATTGGACAGTCACGGCTTCAAACTCGATGGCATGAACTTCTGTCACCTCTTCATGGGGAGTGTTAGGTGGCAAAAAACGTCTCCGTCACTTTAGTTTTGGTTAGAAATGTGTTAGCATTTGATGACAGTAGATGATTTAAATCTATTTTTACGATGCAAAAAGATTTTTATTTTTTAGATAGCACTCATCGACCAAAGAAAATATAATCATTCATCTTTTATATCTGAAAATGGAAGAGTCATAACAGATCGTCCATCTGGTCAGAGATTTATAGAAAATAACTCAAAAGTATATCTACAGCAAGACGTCTGTTTACTCCTCTCGATAAAAAGTAAAGTTACTTGCTAAATATGTGATGAAATTGTTACGTATCGTTCAAAAGTAAACAAGAGTGAAGCCAACAAGCATTGTAAAATTAACAATATTAATTAATTTCATATAATATTTTAAAATAATCACAGTTCGAATCCTAGCAAAATTCCAAGATGGAACGCGAATGACGTCTCCCATGGTCTTCAAAGTGTTGCCGTGTCAATAGTTCCTTGTTGAATCACAAAGATATATTCCAGTTTAGAATTCTGGAATAAATTTTGATAAATGCATTTGTCCAAGAATTTTGATTAGCACTAGTATTTTCCAGGAAAATTTTTTACTAAATCCAGAAAATAAAAGTTCAATTCAAACTGATTAAAATACTCATGTTTTGGTTAATTTTGCTTGACAAATTAATAAATATGCATTTTAGCACAAACAGTTTTGAGTCATTAGACAAAATGCAAATTCTACGTCCAAAGTCCAAGCAGCACACATGTGTTGAACCTTACACTCAAATGTGTAGGGAATGCTTAACAATTATAGTAAAGAAAATAACCCAATATAAAACTTTTACTCTCTTTGCATGTATTTACCCTGACTGTGTGTATGTTTGGGTGTATTTACCCTAACGTTATGTATGTTTGAGTGCAATTACCCTAACTAAATGTATGTTTGCGTGTATTTACCCTTACTTTGTGTATCTTTGCTCGTCTGTACAGTTTACCAAAAAATAAAAAAAACAATCAACTGCTAGATTACACACAAACATCTTTTCTCTTTCTATTAAATTTGTACCAATATCAGGAAATTTTCAGTTCTGCAATGGTTTAAAATGTTCATGCCCCCTTTTCTCTTCCCAGTGTTTACCATATTGACGTCAGCAACATATATTACGAATACATGTTCTGCATTAGTTTTAAATGAGATGAATTGCGTTGCACATAATAATGAGACTATTCCATGTTTGTTGGCAAAAGATTGTTTTGAATATTTACCACGAGCGCAAATATACATTTAAACATATATATTTTTATAAATTTTAATAAACAGTCAGTGTTTCAGGTATTGCCAGTTCAAAGTGTTTATGTACACTCTTTGTCCGTTATTGTTCTATGGTTGCGTGTCTTTGTGATATTTTGTAGAAGCTTACGCAGGTGCGTTTATTTTTAGAAACAGGGATTTTCCAAATGTGATCAATTTCGTTACGGTAAGTCGAAGATTTGATCGCAGATATTTGGTTTTACTATTTGTTTACGTACTCGTATCGATTCTGGCTATTCGTAATAAAATATTAGCTTATTTTTCCTATAAAACTGAAACTTAATAATTCAGATTAGACGTTACAGCAGTTTTCGAATTCCAAAACATAAGATTTTCACCTGTGTCTGACATATTTGTTTATTTTCAGTCCAAATCTAATATCGCACTATCTAGATTTTGTACGTGTATTGCAACTGGTGTTGCAAGCATGCATCACTAGTGGTTGCAATCCAGGTACTGACATGGGCGAGCATACACAATTTGATTCGTTCTCGGTGGCATTTCGGCGTTTTATTAACTCTTGTCATAACCGATATAGCTTCCTGGTACGTCTTTCTAACGAAATTCCATGAAAGTCTTACTAATCTGGTACAATTTGTTTATTATTATTTTCATATTTGACGTTTCGGACAACGTTTAATAACTTCTACCAAATATTTGTTTTATTTAATAATTTTAATGCTATTTATCTTCTTATGTTTGAGACATTTATTGCATAATTACACAAACAATGGTTAATTAATTTGAGCGAATATTTGGACCTAATGCATTGAAGACACTTGCATTTACTAAAATGTTTAGTTATTTTAATTTGAAATCACTTGATTCAGTATAGATACCAATTTAATCAGCTCTGACTGCGGAATGTGCAATGCTTCTTGAGAATTGTGAAAGCATATTGTTAACAATGAGGTTGTGAAATAAAAAAGGAAACCCTAAAGAAAATTAAAAACAAACATTTTGAAGTAAAATTTATTTGTTTACCTGAATCCTTACTAAAATACATTTAATCGACACGTATGAATTATATTTATCGATTGTTATCTTTTTATTAATGAAAATGATTGAATCTTTAATATATAAAGATTGAACATTTAGAAATTACTAATGGTCTTGATTTTAAAACTGTTTGTTAAAGAGAAATTTGCAAGATATAGATAAATGAGACATTTCCAAATTTATATATTGCAACACTCCTTATCAAATATATCTTTCTTTCTTGATCAGAACTACAAACATATAGTTTAATTTGCGAAAGCTATATAACGAATGAGCCAAAATTTAGGGGCCCAGATGATTGAATTTTTCTATGGTGCTCGCCTTTACTGTTCAATGACGTCTCACCTCTTACCTCGTCAGTACGAATCTTGGTCTCCGCCATTGTGGGTATGTGAGAGAGCTCGACAGTATCTTTACGTGGATCGGTTGCGCGTCCCAGTGCCATTCAATATTCTTTCTCCACCAGATAGTTTGGATGCAATGTATAGCCTAACATGTGCTGAAAACTGGCCTTTAAATGACAAAAAAAAATCCTAAGATATCTTGCCAACTAATATATGCACAGAATATGAATTTCACAGATGTTAAATCAATATTTAGCAATAAAAAGATAAAAGCATAAGTTCACGCATATTGGCTGATACATTTAATGATGAACAAGTCATATATCCAAGAATATAATCTATGATCAAAGAACGCTTGTCTTTTTTTTTCGTAATAGAGTATAATGGTAGAAATTAAATGTACATCCAGTTCGGGTCTATCTTATTGTCTATTTTGCTTTATTTCAGTATACTTCCTAAAGAATTCATTCCAGATGAACAAGTTTAGCTTGCTGTTACACGCAGTTTCAAAGTGGCACTTACGATCTACAAATTAATCAAAGATACTAAAGTGGAATGAATGAATAAATATTCATAATTGGTTGAAACAATAATTATTATATTTGGTTGAAACAGTAATCATTATAATTACTTAAAACAGTAACAAGTCAAACATTTTTCATACTGTTGGGCATAATTATTAAATTTTATCATACAACTTTTAAAGATTGTTTAAAGAAAATTTCTTAACAAAGTTCCAATTTAT